GCACTCAGGAATCTGACTCATCGGAGCCGAGTCGTTCGAGCCGGGCATTTTCCCAGCGAATTGCCACGCTCCACGCCCACCTTTCCAGCACCGCCCGCCCCAGATGTTTTGGATTTTCCAAGATGGCAATCCTGACCAGCTCGCATACACTGCAAGCACGAACGAAACGTCCAACATATCTGAAACAACAGCCAAGCATCCGTTTGATGCGGCCGACGAAGTCCTCCTCCTGGTAATTTGCAACCCTGATCGGGTTGGTGAGGTGGGCCACATCCAGCACTATGTGGTCCAGCCTTGGATTCATTCAAAAGCCAAAGCAAACCCGAAACCCGAAAGCCTAAATCCTAGACCCGAAACCCTATAAACCTAAACCGTAAAACCTATAGCCCGAACCCCTAAACACTAAATCCCAAATTCCAAGCGGCCGAAGGTCCACATGATAGATCCAAAGATTGAGGCTGAGGGTTTAGGGCCAAGGACCGTGTAGCATCTGCAAAGGAGACTTAGGGTGTAGGGTACTGCACAAGCTGAGTGGCAAAAAAGGCCTGCAAAAGCATGAATGATTCAGCCACGGCTCGCATGGAATTTTGGCCGGATTTTCCACGCGAGCTCCCCAGCATCGACAGCCTCGCGAGCTAGTCCTTGGATGAGGCCGACATGAAGGAATCAAGGTTATAGGCCTGGGACATACCTTTTGAATGCTGCTTGCATTCGACAGCGGAGGTTCCGACTGAATTACACCACGGCTCCCAGATAAGCACAATGATATAAGTCGTTGAAGAATTCAGCTTGCAGCAGCTCTTGCGTGCTCAGCACAGGCCCTGCATCAACAAAAGTGCACCGAAGTCGGTCCAGCCCGACAAAAACAGCAGCTCGCAGCAGATCGTGGTGGCTGTTTGTCTGTGAAGCCACAACCCAGCATTTCGCGGCCAGCCACCGAACCAATATTATGGACTCCTGAGCTAGCCAGATGCAGTTGCTCGGATCTAGAAATCCGAACAACATGTGAAAATAATTGACACATGTTAACTTATAGTTGATCTAGCCACAGCCCCACTCAGGTGCTTCTGTGCCAGTGTCGGGAATTGGCCAGTAGCCCGATTGGCTTTCATGGCCTCCAAATTGAACGGCGGAGCCCTGCAGCCTTAGCTATAGCCAAGGAATATAATAACCCACACTCCGAGTCCACTGGGCAGCAGTCATGCATGCCGTGATCCGTTGCAGAAGTGGGACTAGAAAAAAAAAGATGGAGCCCTAAACCCTGTGCACGCGAGCCTCCCAATATAGCTATGGTAGCTTCTAATAATTGGCAAGTAGCGGACCTTCTCTGCTCTGCATTCCGCAGCGAACTCCGCATAGGCGTTGCTGAGTCGTTCCTGCTGATCACGTCCTGCATTCTTGGAGGAAGCGGGCCCTCAGAGGTGATTCGGGCAGAACCCTACACCCTAAACCCTAAAGCCCTAAAGCCTAAACCCTAAGGGGAAAATCCTTAAACCCTAAACCCAAATTGCCTTAAATTAAACCGATATAATCTATATCGATATATGACAGGATCCAGTCCTTGCCAGTGTGAAGCATCACGAGTGAGTTCTAGCAAGGCCTGTTCCAGCAACATATGCAAGCCAGGTATATCGGTCATAATTACTTTGAATTGTCCGGCTATGGGCTGCCGAGCGGCAGATGCAGCAGCATCTGGCGCCAGTGCCAGGTCCACCACGTGCAAGTAGTCCGGCCAGACACGCTTCGCAGTCATGCCCGGGCAGAGTAGCCAGGGAGAATTTGAGATGTTCAGCAGGAACTCCCGATCTGTAATGTGCCTTAGCACAGGGACCAATTCGGATCCGTTGGGTTAAGGGGGTTTAAGTTTTAGGGTTTGGGTTTGTCTTCTTCACAGACATGTCCTATTGCACCGATGCATGTGCAATTGCGCAACGTGGTTCGGTGTGGAGCATTGCAGCCGGTGTAGGTGTACAGCATTGTGGAGTTTCCATCTGAAGAGGCCTTCAGGGGTCAGGACTCTCTGTTTGAACAGCAGCTCGATCTGACCCTACATATAGTCGTGGTACTTTGATCACGTCCCCACCTTACAGTAAGGGCACATATTCTTCGACACCCACGACTTCGAGAGCCGAAACACCTTTTTTATAAAGGCTTGATCGCCTTTCATGCCAACCCAGATGGCTTTGTATTCACCCATGATGTTGCGATACGGTGGTGTGTGTGGCCGTCCGTGAGCGTCATGGTTGAAGAGCTCGCCTTGTTGGAGTTGTTGGATGGACCACACCAGGTGTAAGTCCAATTCCGACTGTGTCCACTTCGATGCCTGCTGATTGTCAATGCAGTACACCGGATAAATCGTGTCCAGCGTGGGTCCGCAAGTCAATGCACTTTGAAAGCTGCAAATCAAAAATGTCCTCCGCCGATGGGAATCGGCATCATCCCCATGAAATTCAAGAGGGATGCATCTCTCCAATTCGGTGTCCTTATTGGTTCCCCCAATGTGTTTGGAAAAAGTGTGGCCTCGAAGCTTTGAATGCAGACTAGGGACGGACATGCTTGCTAGGACCGGGTGCTGCTGAAACCACCTCAGCTGCAGCTATATATGTGAGAACCGATCATCACTGTACGCCACAAAAGGTAAATCCTTTCCCGATCGAGCTGCTCCGTGTTCTGCATGTTTTTCCAGTAGCGGAGACATTCCTTAGTTGCGGTTTCCCCGGAGCAGCCTACACTGTCAGGGTCGACTGCCCTCTGCCGCGCTGAGCTGGACCTGCTGCTGTTCGAGGCACACCGTCTTTGCCAAGGAATAATCGCTTGAAGTCATCCTCCGAGTAGGAGTAGACGGACCGGAGCCTCGGGAAGTTATTGCACGAGACAGGGGGTCGACACACCAGCCCATGTGATAGGATGCAGTCGGCATGAGCTTCAGCCCCCAGCGTTTCATGCGGCAGCATGATATGCCATACAGATTCATACAGCTGGTCCTTCGCTGGCCTCTTCTTGTCCACTAGAAGAACCTTGACCCTCGGTTGGAACACCATGTAAAACCCTACAGCAGAGCCTCTGCATGAAGCATGCGAAGCCCAGATTCAAGCCAAGACACTCGGTAGGCTTTGGGAGGATTTTTCGCCACGGCTGGCGCTCCAGCCACTGGATAAAATTCCGGTAACAGTTTTTGTCAGTGGAATAGCCCGCAAGATCTTGCAAGCTAGGCGGCAGCCAGATTGAGGGGACCCGACTGGAGATAGCGTCGAACAGCTCTTTGATTCTGCGAGCAGACAGCTGCTTTGTCACATCGAGCAGGTCGTGCACCAAATCCATGGATCCCGAGGATTGTCACTCTCCTGCATCAAGCTTCATGCACATTCATGTAAGATCCCGGCACCCTAAACCCTAAACCCTAAACCCAAAACCCTAAACCCTAAACCCTAAACCCTAAACCCTAAACCCTAAACCCTAAAATCTCAAGCCACATCCTCGAGCTCCAGTGTCGGGCCCTGCCGATAGATAAGTGCAGGGACTTTATCACATCGATCATTGTCCTGCGCAAGCACGAGGGTTTAGGGTTGGGGTTTATTCTGAAAGGCTTCAGCGTTGGTTTGGGGGGGGAGATGTGTAGAAACAACTACATGACATGTGGTCCTCCCCATCCTCGGGACTTGATCGCATCGATCACTGTCCTGCACAAACACGAGGGTTTGGGGTTGGTGCTTATTCTGAAAGGCTCTTGTTTTTTTTGAAACAACTACATCACATGGGGTCCTCCTCATCGTTTGTCACAGGGCGTCCAGGACACTCATCGAGCTTCCAAAGGTTTCGGGCTTACTCTAGGGTGACATGTTCCTTGAGGGGGCTGGCTTTCTGGTTTAGGGATAGTCTTCATTTGGTCGCAGGTTCAGGATATAGGCTAAAGATCGGTTTACAGCTTGGGGCTTGCATGGTGATGCTTTGTTCATTCAGGGATTCGGGTTCAGAATTTTGGGGGTCTAGGGTGACGGGATTTGTTTTCTCGGGTTGGGTGGGTTTCCGGTTTAGGGATAGACTTCGTCGCTACCAGTTTAGGGCCTTCCGGCTGGAGGCATCGAGTAGGTCGTGGATTTCGGCTTTGGGTTTTCAATCTTAGGCTATATGCAGAAACCGACCAAGACACTACCCTCAATTGAAGTTATAATATAACCCTAAACCCGTATACAGGCTTTAGCTGGTCTATGCAATCTTTGCAGTAGTAGTGTGCGGTTACAGCTGCATGCTATGCTCATCCATGATCGACTGAACTGCATCCTCCTAACTGCAAGCAATCGTGGCAGCTGAAATTACAGTGCAACCCCGACGACAACAGACATCCGAAACACAGCACAACAAAAGGATGGTGGCTCCTGGCATCCACTTCTGCAGCATCTGTTGCTTGGTTTTCCAAAGCAGCTGGGTCTTCGGAGCTATGGAAACTATAGGTCAAACTACAGTCCCAGCCTTGCAAATGCTCGGTTTTTCCGAGCTCTATGGCCTGTAGAACATACTACAGTCACGTGCATATGCTCGGGAGGATGAGTTGCCATCTTAAATTCAGAGGTCATCCTATATAGCTAACCCCGGCTGTACTATAGAGCCCTAAGCCCTAACCCGAAGCTTGTGAGCCTGGTTCTCAGAACTCCCGAAAGCACCCTGCCTCCTCCGATATACACGTTAATTTGAAGTGCCATGGGCCTGTGTATGCTCTGAGTAGAACCCGCTGTAGTAGCCCCGACAATGTTATCCATCCCCTAGCTCCAGCCATTAATGCCCCGAACATAACACAATAAGAATCACAGTCACCATTCCTATCACAGCGCGCTGGGTTAACCTGGAATGCTGTATAGTATCCCGGCATGATACTAGCATACATTGTCGGCACCATGAATGCACAAACTGAAAAGAATTAGTGTTTCAAGCTGAAACAGCTGGGCTCGCTCGGATCGCAGCAGCACACATCCATCGAGATCTCGGAAACCTGGGGATTTAGGGTTTTGGCCGTGATTGGACGATGTTTGTGGATTTGGGTTTTGGATTTTGGGTTTAAGAGTTGTTCCATGGGTCTAGGGATTCCACTAGAATCGACAAGACAGCTCAAGGCCTTAGTACATATAGGCAGAGTTACGACAACTCCGCTAAATGGTTTAAATCAGGCTAAGGCTTTAGGGCTTAGGGTTTAGGGCTTAGGGTTGGGTTTAGGGTTTGGGGTTTGGGGTTTAAGGGTTTTTTCTCCATGGGTCTAGGGATTCCCCTAGAATCGACAAGACACCTCAAGGCCTTAGTACATGTAGGCAGAGTTTTGACAACTCAGCTAAATGGTTTAAATCAGGCCAAGGCTTTAGGGCTTAGGGTTTAGGGGGCTCAGGGTTGGGTTTAGGGCTTTGGGTTTAGAGTACGTAATATTAGGGTTGTTGGGGCTTACATTTTAGGGTCTGTGGCTTTGGAGCAGAAACTGGACCTGCACGAAACACCCCGGCAATTGAGACCAGGCCTTGCTTGGCTTAGCGAGCTTCGTTGCAGGACTGGTCGGTTTCCTGCCCCACACCTTTGGATATTTTCAGGCCTGCTGCTTTGATTCGTCGGTGGGTCTCCTTGAGGTCGACATAGATAGGCTTCATGTTGCTCTGCGCTTCCTCCAGAGCAGCCTTCTTGATCTGGATGGTGACGCCGTCCACTTTGGTGCTGGTATCGAAGTCCTCGATGCATTTCTTCAAAGTGACCTTGTGCTTCAGCATCGATTTGGCCAGTTCGGAGCTGTACGGGACAGACTTCAGATCAGAGATTCCACTGGTCAACTTTCCATCGTCCGCAAGCATCTTCTTGAACTGAACAAGCACTTGCTTGTCCACCTGCTCCTCTTCAGTGAGGATTTTTTTCTTCTTGGGCAGCTTCGGGAGCTTCCCGTCAGCGCCCACCAGGGCACTGCTCGCACTCACATCGTCCGCGAAGTTCTGGAGGTTCTCGTTCAAGGCCTCTCGCGCACCTTTGGAGGTCACCGTGCCGGAGATGTTCACCTGCACACAGGAATCACAGGAGCCTGCACATGACATGCAGAAGCCCATGATGACAGACCAGGCCTCCATCTCGTGCTCTTTCACCTTCTCTTTGTCATCACAGATCTCTTTGAGAACTCTGAACATCCTTCCCTCCTTGATTTTTGAATGGGGAGCCTCGGAACAATGTTGACAACCAAGGTTTCATCCTCGGCAGCAAACATCGGCAGCCGAGCAGCTGAGGGATGCGGCATGCCTTCTCCCTGGCCTTGGCAGCAATTGACATCAGTTGGAGCTTCGTGTTTAGGATTGTAATCAGGGCCTAGGATTAGTATAGCCGTCGGTGATGGGGGGTTTTAGGTGTTGGACTTCTGGTCATGCCACATTCATGCTGGATGACAGACCAATTAAGGTTTGGGGGTTAGAGCCACAGAGAATCACCCTAAACCCAAACCCCTAAACCCTAAACCTTAAAGCCAAACCCAAAACCCTAAACCCTTGCATATGGCAGTGCATAATGGGTTTTAGGGTGTTGGCCTTGGGGGGTTCTGGGGTTTGGTGCTTGGAGCTTCGAGGATGAGGTGTCCCAGCAAGCAGCCCCAAACCTATATGGGTTTAGGCTGGGTTTTAGGGGTTTGGGCTTAGGGGGTTGTGGGGTTT